AATGCATCATCCAATGATGTTGTTGTTGAGTACTTGCAAAGAAAAGTATTGAATAGGAAGGGTGGGATAGCTGGAGGTAAGTTTCTTCACATGCGATGTGTTGCTCGCATTGTGAATCTGATTGTGAATGATGGTTTGAAATAGTTCAATCAATGTGTGATTCGAGTTTGAGATGCAGTGAAGTTCATTAGGCAATCACCAGCAAGATTGGAGAAGTTTAAAAGATATGCTGAAGTTGAAGGGATTGAAAGCAAGGCATTGTTATGCCTTGATGTTTGTACCATATGGAACTCCACATATTTGATGTTACAAACAGCCCAAAAGTTCCAAAGTACATTTGAGCGATTTGGTAGGCAAGATCCAGTTTATTTGATTGAGCTTAAATCTAATCATGGTGTTCTGAGTGATGAAGATTGGAATAATGTGAGAGCATTGGTAGAATTTCTTGAGTGCTTTTATGAGCTTACTTGTAGGGTGTCTGGATCTCTTTATGTGACTTCCAACAAGTTTTTCCTTGAAATATATGATGTTGAAGGGATGTTGCAGCAATGAAAATAAGAATTTTTCTACTATGGCTATAAAAATGAAGGCTAAATATGTTAAATATTTCGGAAATCCGAATAAGATCAATATCCTGATTTTCATTGCAGTTATTCTTAATTCACAATACAAGTTAGCTTATCTTGAATTTGCATTGGAAGACATGTATAAAGAAACCAGTGGATTACAACTCAAGAAAAAAGTCAGAGATGTCTTATATGACTTGTTTGATGAGTATAAGAAAGTCATTCAACCTGAATCTCAATTTGGAAAATCAAGTTTGAAATCAGTGGAAACTCATGATTTGGAAAGGCAAATGAAGAAACGATACTCTGTCACAGAGGCAAGATTGAAAAAGTTTGAACTCGTAGCTGGAAGTGTTGAGAATAAATCTAAATTAGAAAAATATTTGAGTGAGCCAAGGGAAGCCGTTTCTCCTAATTTTGATGTGTTGAGTTGGTGGAAGTTGAACTGTCAAAGATTTCCTATTCTTAGTTCAATAGCTCGTGATACTTTAGCCATCCCCATCTCCATAGTGGCTTTCAAATTTGCATTTAGTTTGTGTGGACGTGTTCTTGACCCTTTTAGGAGTTTATTAACTCCTAAAATAGTTGAATCCCTTGTTTGTAGTGAAATTTTTTTGAAAATACTAAAATAGTCAATGTGGAGGAAGATTTGAATATGTTAGCAACTATTGAAGAAGGTAATTCTCTTATTTATATTGTTATTTCATTACTAATATTAACCTGGCATAATATTAATATTTCTCTTTATTCTTATTTAAATATAGTTCATATTCATAAATTGTCTATTCACTTTTTTAAGGTATCACCGGTTCTACTTTATGATGATGCAAAGAAATGAAGATCACTTATTTTAAGAAAACCAACAGATCTTGCAAGTTATATTTATTTTTAGTTTAGTTTTTTTTCTTTTTTTAACTTGAATCACATATTTTGTTTATTATTTAGTATTCCCTTTGTCTGTCTCTAAGGGTCACATTTACAATTTGCGTCATTGTACTTAACATTAAAAATATTCTTATATTTGTATAATTTTTTGTATAAATGTCATTCTATTAGTATTATAAGACACTAATAGAAGTATTTTTGCAATTTTTTCTTAATTTGTACTATGTTTTGATATAATAATTAATATTCAAATATCAACACGCAAAAAGTAAATGAGACTCTTAGAGCCGGACGATGGTAGTATAATATATTATTCTCAAAGTTTATATTAAGTACAATAACCTCCTATTACTGCTATTTTTTTTTATTTTTTTTATGCAGGGATGAATGAGTGGATTTTGGAGAATTACATTTGATGTTATTGACGGGCAGGGGTGAATGAGTGGATTATAGAAAGTTGCATTTGATGTTATTGTCTATTGATAAAAGGATGCAGTTTGATTTGTTCTTTTTTTTTTTGTGTTATTATTAGTATTTGAAAGACTTGGATCCTGGATACAAAATGAAGTTTGTTGAATTCTATTTTCCCTTCATATATGGTGATAATCGGAGGAAAAAAATTGAGGAGATCTGACAATATTGCTATGATCTCTTGCATGACTATCAATTTAGGGATACATGTTCAAATGTTGGACATTCTGAATGTTTGGACTTGAGAAATGCATCATCGTATAATTCTACTTGTGACACACTTGAGAGTGATCCATTAGCTTTGTATGATCCGTATATTGCTTCTAGTTCAAAATATTTTGCTAGAGTATCATCAACATCTAAATTGGACTTATATTTGGAAGAAAATGTGCTACCAAGAACTCCAAATTTTGATGTTTTGAGTTGGTGAAAAACTAATTGAGTGAAATATCCTACTTTGCAAAAAATTGCACGAGATGTGTTGGTTATTCCTGTTTCAACAGTTGCTTCTGAATCAACATTTAGTACGAGTGGAAAATTGGTTAGTCCTCATCGTAGTAGACTTAATCCATCTACTTTGGAGGTATTAATGTGCACTTGACGTTCGTTATAGAATCAAGCTAGAAGTAAGTAATATTTTTCACATTTTAATTTTTTAATTAAGCTTCATGCCAAAGGTAATCGAATACAATAAGGCAAAAAATGAAACCAAATTATTGTAAAATTATGAGCTTGTTATTTTAAAATTTATTTTTTAATAAGTAATTTAAATATACTATTTTATGAAAGAAAATATTATAATAAAAAACATTTTAAAATTAAATTCCAAAAAATACATTAATTTAAACAAAGATAATTACTATTTTTAATTTTTTTCACTAATCAAACAATTTTTTTGTAAAATAAATAATATTATCATATATCGTCAACTACTATTTTAAAAAAAATAATAAAAAAATCAATTTATTACATCAACTACTATTTAAAATTAAACTACTATTTGAACTTAGTTTGTTGTGTCTTTTTATTATTTTAAACCAAGTTTTTTTACCATTTCATTTGGCATATTTTTTTTTAATAAAAATACATTATTATTTTTTTTTCTCATGAAATATTAAATTAAAATAATAGTATATAAATAAAATTCAAATAGTATTTCATTTCAAATCAATTTCAAATTACAATTAAATAAATTGTAAGGACTTGTTTGATTTTGATTTTGAAATTTAATTTTAAATTGTATTTTAATCTAATGTTTTATGAAATAAAATAATATATATTTATATAAAAAAATCATGCAAATTGAATAAGATATTGCTTTTTATTCCAAATCAATTTAAATATACTATTTTATGAAAGAAAATATTATAATAAAACATTTTAAAATCAAATTCAAAAAAATGCATTAATTTAAACAAAAATTAGTATTATTTTTAATTTTTTTCACTGGTCAAACAATTTTTTGTAAAATAAATAATATTATCATATAATATATTACATCAACTACTATTTAAAAAATAATAATAATAAAAATCAATTTATTACATCAACTACTATTTAAAATTAAACTACTATTTGAACTAGGTCTGTTTGGTTTCTTTTTATCACTTTAAACCAAATTTTTTACCATTTCATTTGACATATTTTTTTTAATAAAAATATATTATTTTTTCACATAAAAAATTAAATTAAAATAATAATATATAAATTAAATTTCAAATTAATTTTAAACTACAATTAAATAAACTGTAAAGACTTGTTTGATTTTGACTTTGAAATTTAATTTTTTATTTAAATTTTATCTTAATCTAATATTTTATGAAATAAAATAAAATATATTTATATAAAAAAATCATACAAATTGAATAAAGATATTGCTTTTTATTCGAAATCAATTTAAATATACTGTTTTATGAAAGAAATATATAATAAAACATTTTAAAATTAAATTCCAAAAAAATGCATTAATTTAAACAAAAATAAATAATATTTTTAATCTTTTCACTGGTCAAACAATTTTTTGTAAAATAAATAATATTATCATATAATATATCACATCAACTACTATTTTAAAAATAATAATAATAAAAATCAATCTATTAAACCAACTACTATTTAAAATTAAACTACAATTTGAATTTGAACTCAGTTTGTTATGTATTTTTAGCATTTTAAACCAAATTTTTTTTACCATTTCATTTGGCATATATTTTTTTAATAAAAATAAATTATTTTTTTCTTATAAAATATTAAATTAAACTAATAGTATATAAACAAAAAATCAAATTAATATTTTATTTCAAATCAATTTCAAATTACAACTAAATAAACTGTAACAGCTTATTTGATTTTGATTTTGAAATTTAATTTGTTATTTAAATTGTATGTAATTTAATATTTTATATAAAAAAAATATATTTATATAAATTACCATGCAAATTGAATAAAGATATTGCTTTTTAATTGAAACAAAAATGAAACAAACCAACCCTAAATAGTATTTAATATTTTTTATTAAAAATAATTTTTAGACACCAAATTGTGTTTAGTTTGCGAAATTATTGGAAAAATGTTCTTTTAATTATTTTATTTGAAATATAAAAAAATAAAATAAAATTGTGCAGTATATATTAAAATAAAAGTGTAATACTCTGATTCATCAGGGGTAGATTAATAAACGAGTCCAGGAACTCGACTCCTACTCAACCTCTACTACAAATAAAATGTGGATCCCACTCAACAAGTGGCCTGAGTCAATTCTGGACCTCTTGATCCCGGAGTGCATTAAAATGCAAATCAAAATTTGTAAAAGCAATGAACTACCTAAAATTTGAGATTTTTTACCCACCCAAATGAAAATAGGCAAAATAATACTAATAAATAAATATAAATAAAATAAAAAAGACAAATCTTTTCCGCACAAAAATTGTAAGTTTCTTTGTCTTAAAAAAATCCCCTATTCTCTGTTCGGATACTCTCTATTCGCCTCTTTGGCTGCATTTATCCATTTTTTCTGCTTTCGAGGGCGACCGCCATTTCTGCAATTCAAAGCGCCGTTCAGCTCGAACTGAGGTTATCTTTATTCTCAATTTGCCGGTGGGAAATGCTCCACTTCATTTACCGCACAATAACAGCGGCTGCCGAGTTGTTTTGTTATATTTTTGTGTTTATTTGACGTGTTTCTTCTGACTTGGGGTTTTGGATTAATTTCTAAGGTTTGGATTCGATTGATTATAGGAACCGGTGAGGGGTTCGTGAGGTGTGCTTGTCAATCCATTTCTTAGATTTGCTTGATTTTGGTTTTCTGTTGCTGTTCTGTGACTGTAAAATGCATCTTGTATGCGAAGATTTTCGATTAGGGATTGGAATGGGGTGGGGCTTGTTTTGTGGTGGGGAATTGGGGCTTTTCTGATGTGGAGCTTGTTGATTCTCTATTGGTTTGGGTGGTTTTTCGTATCCATTTTATGGATTTAAGTTTGGGAGTTGTTGCTGGGAATCAGCAAATTTCAGATTTGTTAGCTGTTTAAGTTGAGTCTAGGTTTTATTGGGTTTTTTGAACTTTTCTGTGGTTTCGGAACTCAAATTGGTGTGGCAAATCGTTGGCTTCTTCTTGTTTCTCTATGATGTTTGAGGCTGAACCGAAAGCATCTTCTAAGGAAAAAAACAAAGAACAATATCTTAAGTTAGCGGAGGGAAAGATTTTGGTTTAGCTCTTCTTTCCTAGTATTATGTACAGATTTTTTTACTTTAGTAACAATTTTCATAGTTAATATCTTTTTTTTTTTATATATCTCAACTATGTTTCAGTTCTTGAACAGAATAAATGCCAACAGTAGTAATTCTCAATCTTTAATTTTGCATGCCCTCTTATATGAGATGTCCATATATACTAATGTTTTCCGAGAGCCAATGTTTTTACTTGTTTACCGGTACTTGTAAGCTTGAAGAGTTTTTTTTTTTTGTATGGTCCGTAGTCCTGGATGTGAGCACAAACTAGAACTATCACTCAATGTGGCCATACTGTTTTGTTTTAGGAGGTTTGTTAATTAGGATTTGTATAACACTATTTTCATGATATCCATTCATTGAAATTTGTGTGATTCCTTAACCCGTGTTCTTCACTGCAGGTAGTAAATAGCTTGTGAAATTGGTGCACTGGATTCAGTACAATGGTTGAAGCCGACAGCGAGATTATAAAACCCGAGGTATCTGGCACAATTACCTTCTTAGTTTTTATTAGCATATTCTTCGAAGTTTATTTGGTGACAAGCTCCCCTTACTACTTATTCTCATTGTTTGATAAATTATTGAATTATTGATCGCCCACCTTACCAACACACAAAGCTCATAGTTTTAATATTGTAATATCCTTGTTACACTTTCTGCTGGTTTGAATTGTCCGTTCCTCTGTTCTGGCTAGATGCTGAAGGCTTATGTGTGGCTTCAAACGTCTGATGGCTCTATACAGCAAGTTGAACAAGAGGTTGCGATGTATTGTCCATATATATGTCAGGAAATACATTCAGGCCTCGGGTCTTCAAAGAATTATCCCATTTCTCTTCCTTCTCGGGTTAATCCAGCTATGCTTAGTCTGATTCTTGATTATTGCCGATTTCATCAAGTGCCAGGCCGGTCAAACAAGGTTGCCAGCTGTTACTGAATTTGTTGTTGTTGTTGCTGTGCCTGTTTCTTTTTACTTGATTATTATTTTGATAGCTCAATAGGCATTCCAGCTAGATTGTAGTGGAAAATAATCCTTGAATACATTGGTGCAGGAAAGAAAATCCTTCGATGAGAAGTTTGTTCGAATGGATACCAAAAGGCTTTGTGAGCTGACATCTGCTGCTGATAGCCTTCAGCTGAAGCCACTTGTTGATCTCACTAGCCGTGCCCTTGCTAGGGTGATTGAAGGGAAAACCCCTGAAGAGATACGGGAGATATTTCATCTGCCTGATGATCTCACTGAGGTGTTTTGTTGTTGCAAGCAGTCTGCATGTTTGATGTTCCTCTTTGCGTGGGAGAACCCAATTCTGTGATCTCTTCTACCTTATATTCTTTTATCCTGTCAATGCAGGAAGAAAAGTTGGAGCCTATAAAAAATACCATGGATGATCCAAGAATTCGGTTGTTAAACAGATTATATGCTAGGAAAAGGAAAGAGTTAAAGGAACGGGAGAGACAAAAGGTGAATATGATAATTGATTTCTATTTTGATATTGGACCGAAATATAGTCTTAGGTTTTTGTACCCTTTGAACAATGAGTCTTATTCTTATAATACTTAAAGTAGCTAATACTAAACTTATTGTGTGTTCTATAGAGTGTTGAGATTGCAGAGGATCACTCAGATGAGCGATCAGTTGATGACCTCTTATCATTTATCAATGGAGGCAATGGAGGTATTTATTGGTGAATTCATTTTCTTAATTTTTTCTACATTATGGTTCAAATTTAGGCATCAAAGATTTCCTGGGCAGTATTTGCTTTCTATATCTTACAGTTTGGCACTTTGTTTTATTTTATTTTTCCAATTGGAATTGAATTTTTTCGTGTAGTTGGGTGTTTGCATTGTTACCTAATTCCTTAATTTCTTTTGTATGCTTTGTTAGTATATTTTTTGTACTAAATTCTGTAGATTTTCTGGTAAATGCTACTGTTATTTTGAAGATATGCTTGTCAGTGGCTCTGCTGAGTCCTGTATTTGAGAATGTGTAAATGTGTATCATCTATCAGAAGCAACTACCTCTGAACTTAGAGCTGTATTTCCTTTATTCCTTGTTTTATACCTCCTTTAATGATGAACTTGATGTCATGCACTTGTCATCCCCCCACACCTTTTTTGCGTCTCAATCATTCCATCTCTTTCTCTCTCTCTCTCTCTCTCTTCATGTTAAGGTTAACCTTGGATAAGCATTATTTTGTAGATTCTAAGGGGACTAGAGCTTCCAAAAATAAAAAGAAGAACCGTAAGAGAAAAGAAAATCAGAAGAATGCTCCTTCAGATTGCACTAGCCCATCGAACAGCACATCATGTTCAAGAAACACTGCAGATAAGGACAAGAAAGTGAGAAACCTTTTCTGTATTTTTCTGAAGTTGTCGGCTTCATTGTTTCAGTCATGGCCTTATTAATTTCCTAAGCCCTGTCTTCCAGTACAGGCAAAAATAGGCTGTTGGAGGTTGTTCTGATGCATGTGCCTCTGTTTTGATTGATGCCATTTTATGTGGCAGGAACTAGACAAGTGTCATTCTGAGTGTGGGAATCATTCTTTACTCAACAAGCTTCATCCCAACATGTCCAACTCGACAAAGTTGCTTGACATTGAAGATAGTGGATTAGCTGTGGTAGATGACTTTGATGATTGTGATTTAGATGATGATATTGATCCTGCATTGAAAGAAAAAATTGATAGGTGAGCATGGTGCTGCTTTATGGATTACTGTGCAATTTTTTATTATTATTTGTTCCGATACTATTAGCGATAGAATATTGTGTGGTTACTCAGACATGAATAATGGTGGATTATGTTTGATTTTACTATATTTCCTTTTCCTTTTTATTTATTTTATTGTGTATTAGGGGATGATGTGGTGGGATCTAGAATATATGGTTAGGTTTTCGGCCACGGTGTACAGGGTTTTGGAAAGTTTAAATAAATTTGAATAGGCCATAGTAATTGAATTTGAATTATTTTATGGCAATATGAGAGAGCACAAACACTTTTGGGTAAAAATATGCCTGATTTGTGCGAGTGAGTTTTAGTTGATAGTTGTAAACAAAATGAAGTCTCTGTGTCGGCTGATGATCATTTTGTGGGATAAGTAAAAGCTCATTTTCAGTATAGGCCAGCATACCATGGTGCTTGGATTTACCACTAACATGTCCGTGTAATCTTCACCTTGAGTTTATATTTGTTTTTATCTATTGTAAGATTCTTTTTGCACATTCTTTTCACAATACATATTTATGATATATTTTCTATAAATTTTCACTGCTGTATTTTTTGCACACGACTACACCATGTTCCCCACAGATCAGACGAGATATTTTCTTGATATATTTATTGTCTTACAATGAAGTTAATTGGACATGCGTCTACAACTTAAAGTTTGTTCATTTTGTCTTTTTGTGTGTCCGTAGGTAAGTGATGTGTATGTAACATATCTTGGTATGATATTTGTTGCTAATAGCAGTATCACAGTCGTAAAGTGGCGGCATTGCTGCATTGAGGACACCGTTATTGTATTTGGAGAAACATACATTTCTGACAAATTTCTGATATCATGCTTCATTCTTACTTTTAGTTGAGTTGTTTAGTAATGCACTGCATTAAAATGCAGTGGTGGAATTCAAGATATTCAAATGAAATATTATATGTGACAATTTTGTTTTGCATTTAATTGAACAGGGAAGTGGAAGACTTCGCCAGAAGGTTAAATTCCGACTGGCCAGAGAGGATGCAAGAGATTCTTTCCCTAGGTCAAGAGCGCAGGCCATTACAGTTGTCAATTAATGGAAATGGCTCATTGAGGCGATTCACAAGTACGTTTAATGTTATTGTCTCTTATGCTGTCTCATCCTTCTAGTATTAGACACTTGCAATCATACGATTATTTTTCATGCTCTAATTATGGTTCTGTTATTGCCATTGATTGTATTCTGCATTAATGTACAAAATGTCTAAACGTGACAAGCATTTGCATGTCGCCAAGTGTTTACCTTTTCAGACCATTTTGTTTCTGTTAAACTTTTTGTATAACTGAATTTCATTGCAGGTTTAGATCATCACAAAAAATGATGCTCCGTGTCTGCCTATCAACTTCCAATTACAGACCCCAAACAAGGAAAAAGAAGAAGAAAGAAAATCTCTCGCAGCCCGGAGTTGGAAACAACATCATTATGGATCGACAACCGGCTATTTTTTGGAATCATTTAAGAGATTCAATTTTGATGTTTGAGTTTGATCCTTAAGGTACTTCTGTAGAAACAATAAGGGAAAGAATGCGCATAAATCGGCCTATTTTTCCAGCCTCCCTTTTCTCCAAATTTACCTTTTTTTAAAAAAATTCTTGTTTCATTGTCTTCGCTCCCCCGGAAACAGAGAAACAGACTAGGCCACGAGGCTTACAATGTCATAGACTGTTGTTCCTTTTCTTGTGGGTCTTGTAATAGAAATTTCTGTCAACAAGGTGGTTTAGAAGAAATCTTAGTTGCTGGAAAAGCAAGCCTGCAGCCAAGTGAGTCTGAAGTTTCTGTAAATATCAGGAAACTTTTTCCTTGTTCTTTAATTTAATGATTTGATGGAGAGATTTACTGCTTTTGTTCATTGAAACTCCCATATTTGTCGAGTTTAATCTTCCTTCTAAGTTCCGCTTTTCTATGTGTTGAAAGTAATGATGTTATGCTGAGTAAAGTTACTTTAGCTTGAGTTTAGCCTGAGTTGCTCGATGATCATTAATTTTCTCACATGTAATTTGATTTGTCTTTCTGAGTTGTGCTTTTCATGTGTTGAAAGTTATGTTTTTGTGCTTAGTAACTTTACTTCAGCTTAGGTGCAGTTTAATCGACAGATTGACTTGAGACCGAGTTGCTCCCCCAAGATCGAGAACCTATTGGTACGTACGTTTTGACTGTCTAGGCGATGTCAAAATTTTAAATTTGGAAGTTTCATTTTTGGGAGCATTTTAGAAAGGTATGATTTATTTCTAGCTTTGGCAGATCCATTTTTTGGAGCATTTTAGAAGTATGATATATAATTATATGGTGCTTCGAGCTTGGTTTGATATTAATTCCATTCCTTGCTTGCAGTTTCTGTTGAATATATCGCTATATTTTGGTGTGTATTTGTCAATCTATTGGATTTTTTCATCGTCTAGGAACCAAAAACTGAATCTGCAAAAACAGCCAAGAAAAATGCAAACATCCTTTGTTACTGTAATTACTCTACATATACATCTCCTGTGTATACAAGTGTCCTAGTTAGTTCTCATCTCAACTCTCTCGTTCATTGTTGATGTTGCTGTTGTTGAGCAGGGGCGACGTGCGGGCACGGCTGGTGAGGCTCGCCTCGTGTCCACAAATGCTTCAAGTCCCCTCTCTTCTTCCCCAATCCTATCATCGTCCCTGACATCGACCGGGTGAACATTATTAAAGCTCTTAATTTTGATTTTAATAATAGTGTTGGATGTCTTGATAGGTTGTGCTGATGCTTACCTAGAGTGAATGGGACAATGTAGAGTAGCGCCGGCTGCCCATGTCCGTCCATCAGGTTCAGGGCCACGTACGTTACCAGAAGACCTACGGGAGCATTGCAGATTCGATGTTGTAAGTAAAGTGCGACATTGATGAATTCCTGGACACGATTGTTGGATATGTACCTGAACCGTAGGCGAGCATCACCCAGATGAAGTATCCAGCTTTCAGGGTTTTCTTCGACAGCCAGTCATACCTATATATATGTTCGGAAATTACACTCTGGAGTGGTGCTGTTTGATCGATTTTTATATATTTTAGAATGTTTGTTACCTGAGGGAGAATGCGACAAGCAGACCCGGCAAGATAATGTCGCCAAATCCGATGATGCTGTATCCGCCCCACTTGTCGAACATCCGCGGGATCTTCAGCAGCATCGGGATGCCATCTTCCCCGCTCCCGTCGCCGCGTGCTACCTACAAGATAAGCGCGCAATATATTAACTGTCCCATCGGGTTATATACATTGCGGAACTTATCGAGAGCTTTAACGTACCACGATCATTATGCTCTTGTGGAATAGCCATTTCGAGACGAACACCCAAAAAATGTCGTAAAGGAAGGCGCAGCCGAGCAGAACTGTTCCCACCTGAGGAAATATTTCGAACAATGTTTGGAGACATGTTTATTCATCGAAGCTAAGATAAAAGAACTTGGTTGTAGACGAGTACCTTAAGATTTGGGATGCGTATGATCTGTAGAACCGTGATTATCAGCGCAATGCCCTGTTCCGAAGGAAATCTTTTTAAGTCCCGGCAGCTAAGACAATTAACGATACATGGAAATGTAAACGTAAGTATTCGGTTATTCTGTTCTTACAAGTATGTCTTGTCCGATCCAGGCGAATGGACCGTGACGACGGTGTAGAGCCCATAGAATGCCGAATGCAACGCAGAATGGTGACACGGCGAGTGTGAGATGCGATACAGGGCCTACGAAAGGAACTTTGACAAAGGACTCCGATGCCGTTCGAAACCATCTGAAACTGAAGTAGAAAAGGGATGTTTTAAGTCGAAATTGTCTTGCCGGGACATAGTAGTGAAGTATGCAACCCTCATACGTACCATGATAGCAGAGCGACAAGACAAGTTTGCAAGCCCTGTAAGAAAAACAGAAGACAGACAGAGAACATATAAATCTTCGAATCGAAAAGACAGCTTGGAGAGGATTCTTCGAAAGACCATGAAATGATCAACCAACCTCGACGCCACCAATGCAGAACACGACCACCAGAATCTCGATGAACCAATACGACATCAGCTTGTAAAGCATCACCAAGAAACACGACGCGATCACAATGAAGAAAACAGCCGAGGCGACGCCCACATCCACGATGCCAGTAGACTGACAAGCATCCTCGTCGATGGAACCATCCTGAGACAGTAAACAATACACACCAACGATCAGTTAATCCTTCAAACCCAAACTCAAATGTAATAATCAGACAAACAAGTGTGCGACCTTTAAAAGCTTCTCCTGCTCGACCGCGGCTTCTTTCGCTGTCCACGCCGACCAATAAGATGCACACAGGATGGTGCCAACAGCCATCAGCCATAAGAACACTTCAGCCACGTCGACCTTTGGTCGCTTCGGAGAATACATTTGTATTGAAACTGGAAAAATCGGGAAGCCCGTTTAGCAACAATTAAGGATAGACATACATACATACGTACCTACCATTACATAATCTTCGAACAATTCTAACAACCCTCACCGTGTGAAGTGTTATTCTGCATGATCTGCTTCAAGGCCACACCTGCGTCTTGCGGGAGCATGACGACGGGTATGCGCACCCACACGTCCGTCTCGTTCGCTTCGCAAACCATCTTGAACAACTCTGTCGAGGTAAAAATAATTTTAGACAAGACCGAACCGTTGTTAGATTAATACAACGCCTAATGGCGGCAGCCACAATGCTGAAGAAACATTAAGCACTGTGCTGAATAGCACACCGTTCTACAAAACAGCAGACGGTGTTACTATAAACAGCACACAGTATATTTTAATATAATACAAATACAGTACATAACCTACACATGATATAATCTTACACAGCACACAAAATACTTGATTTTAGCACATTATATACTCTCAGACAGCACACGCTATAATTATGAGTTAACAGCACAAACTTTTATTACAAACAGCACATGTTGCATATAATAAAGGTGTTTCTGATCCTCATACGATCAGAAGCGTTTGCATCACGACAATTGTAAGAAAGCTCCAAACCTGTCCGGTAGTTTATGATGAGCAGTGCTGACGCACCGGCAGCTTCCGCAACTTTAGCTTTACTGACGAAGCTGCAATTGCCTCGGTCGACCACAGCGACTTCTCCCGCGAGCTATCGAATAGTAGAAAACGGCAAAGATGAGATCAATAAATGCATACGGTTTTTTTTTTTTCTAGTCCGATTCTTGCGCGAGACTATGAGGGAAGAAATAGACCTTATTCGTCGGGCTAGTACAAAAATCGGGAGGATCTGCGAGAGCGATTCTGGTCTGGTTCGCGCGCTTCTCTTTCGATTCTAATGTTAGACCAAATCGCGCGCCGATCCCGACAAACTCCCTCTGCTCTCTATGGTCGACCCAAACCGGCACCTTAACCTATCGAAACACAATCACATCACACAATTGGTCACAATAATAAACCGAGGCCTCTAAAGCCGAGATAATCATTTAACACGGTATTAAAGCAGCATTACGTATTTATACAAGATTATATATATATATATCCGGGAGGCGTGAGTCGAGGCAATTAATATCGATGTACTTGGAAGACCTAGCACTACAACATGAGTATTTTCCGAAAACTGACAACGAATGCTCTCTACTAATAATTATTACAAACAACTTATTGGATCGGTCCTAGTCGGACGACTATAGATCGAACCTATCCAATTTTTACTACGGTACTATGATTGGCTGTTTGTGACTAAGGATCATATCTGTCGAATCCTGAGAATTGTGATGCGATTCCTTCCTATTCTAACAACATTGCTGCTGTGGAATTTAGGCGTGATGCAAGAACATAGTTCATGTCTGTAATCTGAATCAATTAGAATCTGAATCAAAATCTGAAACAGATAATTCACACACAACATATGATCAAACAAAGACAGCAGAAGAAAACCTGAAGATAAACAAATACTACAAAACCCTCCTTAACACAAAAACGTCATAAGAATGAAGCCATAACCAAAACTCAAACAGTCAGCTACTCAGATGCCTTTCGAAATTCAATTCAATTTCTATCCAATCTACTGTCTGCACAAACAAATTACAACTAAAAACAAACCAGAAAAATTAAATAAACAAATAAATTACTGCAATTCATCCAAAAGAAGAAGATCGAACGACAGGAGAACTTCTTACCAGGACGAAATTGTTGTCGCAACCGGGCCTTTTTGGGGCAACATCGTCCTGGTGAACAATATCTCCCGCAAAAGCAACAGAACACCACAAAAAAGCAAGAACCGCAGAGAAAGAACCGCCCTTCATTTCACTCCCAACCAAAAGACCTTTTCCTTCCTTCCTTCCTTCCTTCAAAAATTTACAGTCAAAACAAATTTATTATTGTTTCTTCCTTCTCCTCCTGATTTCTTGTACGAAAATTATTTTTGAAATAAACAATAAATCTTCTTTATTTTCTTTTTTTCCTCGAAAGTGTGAACTGAGAGAGAGAGAGAGAGAGAGAAAAAAAGATATGCACGAAGGTTGTAAGAAAGAGAGGAGAGAAGAAGAGGAGAAAAAGGCAGAGAAGGGGTGTTTGGCTTAGGTTGTCTATTTTCAGACCTCATTATATATATATATGTATGTATATTATCTATCTATCATGAGAAGAGCGCCGTCTGCGGACCGTTGAACAGGTTTTCAACCTCCGCCGTTGAAATGAGGAATTTTGCCGGCTCCACGGCGGCGCGTGGGCATCACGCAACCGGTTTTATTGTATAAAAAAAATAAATAAATCGGTCTTCTGGCCTGTACTTGCCCTAAATAATTTTCTAATTTGTAGGCTTTTAGCTAAAATTTGACCTTTTGTGTTTAATACTCATATATACAATAGTACCTCCGTGTGTGTGTGTGTACGGTGTACCTTGCCATTTACTTTTTGCAATTCTTCTTTCTTCTTCACTTCATCATTTAAGGATGTGGCTTGTTTGACGGATTTTTTATTCATTTAAATAATTTTTTTTTTAAATATTAAATTAAATAATTATTTTTTATTTTTTATATTATTTTAAAAATTAATTTTATATTAAAAAAAAAAAATCACACTGATCTCTATTTATATTATCAAACTTCTGTTTATATCACATCACACATTTCTATTCAAAATTTTTACGATTAAATCTCAACTCAAAATTCAAACTTTCAAACAAACACATACTTAGTTTATTCAATCAAACTTTGTTACATTATAATCCTCCGTTACTAGGTAATTTTTCATTTTTATTAACGATATAGTATTAAGATATATTTAATTAGTTAATAATAGTGTATTATCATATTATTTATAATTTTTTTCGATAATTATTAATGTTGATAATATTAAAATAAATTTAATATATAAGGTTAAAAAATTAAAATATGTATTCAAATATTTTTAAAATTATACTGCAATAAAAAAATATATACAATATGAAGTATTATATACTTTAATTTAGTAAATTTTATTCAAAATAAAAATACTCCCTCCGTCTCATTGGAATGGTGGCATTTGTTTTTTACACGTAGATTTTTTAATATTAGTATTATATTAGATTGCAGTAAAAAAAATACAAAAATACCCCTATTAGTATGGTGTAATATAAAAGTAATGACATTTGTGTAATATATTGTAAGTTGAAAGAGTATTTATTATGTTAGGTATGTAGTACAATTACTAAATTAGGAAATGATAACCTTGTTTTAGGACGAACAAAAATAAATAATACTGTAGTAACATTTCAATAGGACGGAGGGAATATATCAATTGTTACAACATATAGAATATTTTTCTCTCACCTAAATTTGTACTTATTTTTTTTATATACGTAATTAAAAATATTTGTATTTTACATTTTAGTAAAAATTTATATTTTTTATATTTCTTTATAATAAAAATAAAAAGTAACCAAATGTACATCCTACATTAAAACCTATGACCAAAAATTTGAACAGATTCTTAAATGAGAAAGGAATAATATTTAGTTAAAAAAAATAATTTTAAATATATACATATAGATAGATAACAATATAATATAACAAAAACAATCAAAATATCATTTTCAATAATATCTTCACAAATAATAGAAAGAATAAAGTCTAAACAAATATACACTTAACATTTAAGAATAAAAATAATACACTTGTTCAGAGCTAGTTTATTCAACAACTAATTACATGCATAAAATATACTTCCTCCGTCCCATAAATATAGTCTTAATTTGATTGAGTACGAGATTTAAGAAATATTGATATTATATTGGTAGTTGGTAAAAAGTATGAATAAAAGATTTATTTGCCTTTGTGAGTGTGTTAGTGTAAAAAATAGTGACAATTGTGTAATAAAAATAAAAAAGTAGGGGTAATTTTATGGTGATATGATTATTTATGAAAATAAGACTATTATTTTTGGACGACCCATAAATATAGTCTTAATTGGGTTGGACACGAGATTTAAGGAATATTGATATTATATTGGTAGTTGGTAAAATGTATGGATAAAAGATTTTTTTTGCCTTTGTGAGTATGTTAGTGTAAAAAGTAGTGGCAATTGTGTAATAAAAATGAAAAAGTATGAGTATTTTTATTGTGATATGATTATTTATGAAAATAAAACTATTATTTTGAAACGGACAAAAATGATAAACAAAATTATTGTATTGGAACGGAATGAGTATCTATATAAATCCTTTGTATAGTTAAAGGGTGTGATTTTGACAATTTCACCAAAAATTGAAACCTATAGTCTAATTTCACCTAATATTTGAACCCACAATCATTAAAGGACAAATTTTGAAATAAGTTCAATAATCAATAGAAATAGAGGGTGTTCTCATTTGTGTATTTTTTTTATCTTTTATCTTTCCTCCGTCCCACAATAAAGTATTCATTTTTTTATTTTAGTCCGTTATATAACAAAGTATCTATTTTTTTTTAATAATTGTACTATCAATCTAATATTACAAATATCTTTACAACTTACAATATATTATACAAATATCATTACCTTTATATCACACCATACTAATAAGGTTATTTTAGTCATTTCTACTTTATTTCTATTATATCCCAATATAATACTAATATTTCTAAAACTACGTGCAAAAATCAAATGGATACCTAGTTATGGGACAAAGAGAATATAATTAATGAAATAATTACTTTGTAATTGGACATCCCAAAATAGAAATATGTATTCTTTGTAGCTGGACGGAGGGAGTATAAAAATGTATTTAACCGTTGAGTTTTGGTTTAAATTTCAAATGCAGATCAATATTGTTTAATTTTTACAATTCTTAAAAAAATACTCTTTCCATCTCATATCTATATATCCATTTGTTTTTTGCACAGAGTTTTTAAAAATATTAGTATTATATTGGGATAAAGTAGAAATAAAGGTAAAGAACTAAATTAACTCTATTAGTATTGTATGATATAAAGGTAATGTTATTTGTGTAATATATTGTAAATTGGAAAAGTATTTCTAATGTTAGGTAGATAATACAATTAATAAAAAAGAAATGAAAACTTTATTATGTGACAAATCAAAATAAAAAAAAAAAAAATAGATAAATTGTTTTGGAACAAGTATATTTTTTCAAAAGCATATCATGTAACAAACTATTTAGATTAAAACTTAAAACTCAAATATAAAACCAAACATAGCCATTACATTTAATTGAAATTATATATTAAAAAACAAACTTGTAAACGGAAGAAATAATAATTGAAAATACTCTTAAGTGTCTTGTGCTTTTTATTATTTTGGGGTATTTTATATGAATTTTTGCAACAAATATTTAATTTTAAATGTGATAATTTTTATGAAAATAAATATTTCATTTGCCTCCTATAATTATGTCATTTATTTTTTTCGTTAAATTTGTGCATAATCAGTAAATAATTTTATTCACATATAATTTTATTATTTATACTTTACCAATTACTCCATCATCCGCCTCTAAGGGTCATACTAGCGTTATTGTATTTAATATTGAGAATATTTTTATATTTGTATAATTTTTTTTGCATAAATGTCCTTCTATTAGTATTATAAAATACTAATGGAAATATTTTTGCAGTTTTTTCTTAGTTTGTATTACGTTTTGATATAATAATTAATATTCAAAAATCAACACACAAAAAGTAAATGAGACTCTTAGAGCCGGATAGAGGTAGTATAATATTTTCACTTTACTTTTTACTTGACTTATTTTTATATTGAAATATTACTCCCTCCGTCCCGATTATAATGTCCACGTTACCGTAGACACATGAATTTAGAAGAGATATCATTTTTAAATAATTAAGAATGCATTAGTGAAAAAAATTATTGTGTAATAAAAATAATTATATATTACGTTAATTAATCAGTCTAATTAAAATTTAAAAAAATTAAAATTAAATTAAAGTGTATAATTCTTTTTTTAAAAAAATAACAAAATAAGCTATATAGATAAAAATTGAAAGATGGACACAATAAATGAAATGGGAGAATATTATTTTTTACTTTATATGCCCAAATAAAATGATATAATTAATCTAAACAGAAGACATATTAGATACTAAATCCGTCTTAATTCAAAATACTTCTTCCGTCCCATAACAAAGTATTCATTTTTCCATTTTAATCTGTCTCATAACAAAGTATTCATTTTATTTTTTTAGTAACTGTATTATCTACCTAACATTACAAATACCCTTACAACTTACAATATATTACACAAATGTCATTACCTTTATACCACACATACTAATAAGGTTATTTTAGTCATTTCTATTTTATTCCTACTACATCCAAATATAATACTAATATTTCTAAAATTACGTGCAAAAAACAAATGGATATTTAGTTATGGGACGGGGGACTATTTTTTTTTACTATTTTCGCCTGTCCCACTCAAAAGTATCACATTTTTTTTAAAGTACAAATAATCATACACTAATACCAAAATAATTTTAATTTTTATTTAAATTACAAATAGACAATTACACGTACAATTATTTTATATATGGTCACGATCAAAATATCAAAATTTTTTATACAGTTCCATTAATCAATTAAATATTATTATTTTGTAGTCTACTATAAAATCTCAAAAAAATCTCTGTCATATGGAACAAAGAGAATATTATATATTTGAAAATATAAAAATATATCAAATTACAAGAGTACTTAAAAGAGTTTGCTTATTGTGCCAAGAATTTCGAATAATTTTAGGGAAAATTCGGCATGGATCAAGTGTTGAATTCAATTTCAGCACGTGATGTTGAATGTCCTAAATTATAATTAATTCTAAAGTTATTAAGCGGAATTCAACAATAATTTTACCAACAACCGATCCATTCTTATATTTGTTTGTTACGATGTTTTATAAATATTATAAAAAATATAATATATACTCGATTAACACAAAATAATGTATATATATTTTATTAAAAAATTAATAATTTAATATAAAATATTACTTTTATATTATCAATACATCAAAAATAAATTCATCCAATTCAAAAAAATTATAAACAAATAATAATTTGATTTTAAATAAAATTTATTTGCATAAGTCATGTCCCTA